AAAAAAACCCAAACCCATTGCCATCGAGTCAATTCCAACTCATTGCGACCCTATAGGACAGGGCAGAACTGGCCCTTAGGGTTTCCAAGGAGTGTCTGGTGTAGTGAAACTGCTGACCTTTTGGTTAGCAGCCATAGCTCTTCATTTTTAAATTTTTAAAAAATTTTTTGTGACAAAATACGTCATTCCTATCAATGTTACTCCATGACGTGGACCGAGGAATGGGAAACCTTTTTTAAATAAGACAAGTACAATTACTTGTTCTCTGAAACATGCATATCTTTGTTTCCCATGAATACGGAGCTCTGTGTATTAAACTGACTTCTCATTTCAATTGTGGTTAAAAGCCTTAAGACTCTTTAAATGTTGTAAATGTGAGTGTTGACTTCAGGGGTTTCTTTGGTGCCCAGAGAGAATATTTGTGGTCTGGGACCATGTAAAGAGTCTTACTTTGTTTATTACAAATTTGACATGATTATTTTGCTACAAATGAATTCACACCTGCCTATCACCAGAGATCTTGAGAACCAAAGTATTGGCTGAGTGTCAGGGAAGTGTTCATTGCTCCTTCCTGTCTTCCCTAATGATATGTCTTTCTCCATGATCACCACATCAGCTACACCCACTTGTTCTCCCAGAGTAGCAAGGGGAAGACCTGAGGAGAGTGCAGATAGCACTTGCCCAGGACCACTTTGTCGGGGGCACCAGGAAGCAAGAATCGTTTGGAGGACTGGGCCTGCATGGAGGGAGTGAGATTTGAAAAAAATGAATTTAAAAAAGTCCCTTGGGTTGAGGAGTTTGTGCTTCACAGATATCTGAGCTTGCTTTTCTGACTTTCATCAGTCCGAACACACCTGGTTCATGGAGAAAGACTATCTCCTTTTCCTCTTTTAATTTTCCATGTGGATTGTGTCCAATACCTTTGTACTTTGGTTTTCTAATTACACCCTATTTATATCACCATCTCTCTCAATCTTCATGGAAGCATTTCCTAGTAAATTGCTTTCTCAACATTGCCAAAGTATGGAAACAGCAAAATGCATCAGAAAATTTCTTTGCTCATGGCAACATTTTCCCTCAGAGTATTTTCTCTCCTTTTTGTTCCATGTTGTGAACTTCACCTTAAATGATTGGGTCAGCTTCTCGAAAACTTATTGATGGATGCAAGCTATCCACTGAAAATATAACAGTACGATTCATGAGAAATGACACCTGGTCCTTGATGGTAGGAGAAATCTGTAAATTGCCTGTCACTGTAGATCAGGATAACAACCAGAAAACACATGTGAGGTGAGTGTTATTTATGCGAGAGACAGCAGTGCTTCAGGAGAGAGTCTTAAGAAGGTATAATGACATTAAAATATTT